TCCGTCCCGATCAAGTACCGAACGTACGGCGCCTCCGCATTCAGCACACGTTCAGCTCGATGACGTCCTCGCCTTCTTGATCCAGCAAGAGGGGCGAAGTAGTAGATGAGTCTGGCAGCACGACAGCGTGGTGACGGTGTTGGTGAAGAACAATCTCCGCAGGGCTTCGCCTAAGCACTACGAAAACTATGACGGAGGATAAACTAGAGGGGACGGGGTTGCCAGCACACGGCTTGGTGTTTCTTGATCTCTCTTGGGTGCTAGCCCTACCCCTCTATTTATATGTTGAGCCCTGGGGTCGAAACTTGGAGTAAAAGCCTCCTCAAAGTCGGTTTTGCCCGAAAGGAAGAGTCCTTCTCGGACTCCAGGACTAGACGCTAGGGTTCCTGGCGTCTACCCCCTAGACGCCAGGGTTCCTGGCATCTAGCCTCTGGTCTCTACAAAACTTCCTTTTGCACTTTCCAAAAGCCTCGTGGGCTTTCCCCTTTGGCCTAAATAAAGTGTTCTCATACCCAAAATTTCGGGAGACATCCAGAACCCCTTCTGGTGAATTTCGGAACCCTTCCGGAGATCAAACACTACTATCCTATATATCAATCTTTACCTCCGTACCATTTTGGAGTTCCTCGTCATGTCCGAGATCTCATCCGGGACTCCGAACAATATTCGGTCACCAACATACATAACTCATATAATACTATATCGTCAACGAACGTTAAGCGTGCGGACCCTACGGGTTCGAGAACTATGTAGACATGACCGAGACACCTCTCTGGTCAATAACCAAAAGCGGAACCTGGATGCCCATATTGGCTCCTACATATTCTACGAAGATCTTTATCGGTCGAACCGCATAACAACATACATTGTTCCCTTTGTCATCGGTATGTTACTTGCCCGAGATTCGATCGTCGGTATCCTCATACCTAGTTCAATCTCGTTACCGGCAAGTCTCTTTACTCGTTCCGTAATGCATCATCCCGTAACTAAATCATTAGTCACATTGCTTGCAAGGCTTATAGTGATGATCATTACCGAGAGGGCCCAGAGATACCTCTCTGATACACGGAGTGACAAATCCTAATCTCGATCTATGCCAACTCAACAAACACCATCGGAGACACCTGTAGAGCACCTTTATAATCACCCAGTTACGTTGTGATGTTTGGTAGCACACAAAGTGTTCCTCCGGTATTCGGGAGTTGCATAATCTCATAGTCATAGGGACATGTATTAAGTTATGAAGAAAGCAATAGCAACAAACTAAACGATCAAGTGCTAAGCTAATGGAATGGGTCTTTTCCATCACATCATTCTCCTAATGATGTGATCCCGTTCATCAAATGACAACACATGTCTATGGTCAGGAAACTTAACCATCTTTGATTAACGAGCTAGTCAAGTGGAGGCATACTAGGGACACTCTGTTTTGTCTATGTATTCACACATGTACTAAGTTTTCGGTTAATACAATTCTAGCATGAATAATAAACATTTATCATGATATAAGGAAACATAAATAACAACTTTATTATTGCCTCTAGGGCATATTTTCTTTAGTAGACGTTGTGGTGGCAAAGGCGGCGGAGGAGGAGTTGAAGACATTGATTCCTGACCTAGTCAAAGGTGCTATGCCCGTGGACATACTGCGTTGTGCGATGGATGAGGCCGAGTCCGGCGATGCTGGTCAGAGAGACAGATGGGCCAAGTACATGCGGTACGGGGCTCGTCAAGATCAACTGGCCGCCACTGTGGCGCCGACCGTCATCGTTCTAGAGTCGGACGAGGACGAAGAAGTGGTGGAGGTGGTGATAGAGGTGCTGGATCCATGCCACCGTACCGTAGTATGCTAATCGTTTTGGATGACGGCAAGGATGAGGAGATGGTGCACTCTAGGTCAAGCCAGAGGTGGACAACTATAAGGCCAAGGGCCCCTGCCGCTCCAAGCGCCTCCAGGGTCCCCATGGCTAGGATTTAGCGGTATTGTGTGCAAGTTTGATTTACCCCCATTCCCCAATCCCCTTGTACTCAATCTAGATCGAACCCTACAATCCATCACTACTCCTAAATCAAGATGTGTTGATCAATCCTATCAAATCCCCACAATCAATCGTACCCTTAGCACGCGAATCGAATCCGAAATCAAATCTAATATGTGAATCGAATGCAGAAAATCAAGAGCGAGGAAGTGAAACATAGGGCTTACCGCCATTGTCGAAGTGCTGCCGGTGAACAATGCTGGTGCTCGCCTTGTTGTTCTTCGCTTCGCTGATCCTTGCTGCCGGTGTGAGAGTGGGGAGAGGAGAAGAGAGCAGTGAGGAAAGGTGAGGGTAATTATGTCGGTGCTTTGGGAAACAAAGCGACATCTTGAGCGTGGCACCTCGCTTGCAGCCACCGCCGCCCACGTGCATCCTATGGCCCTGGCCGTGGAAAAACTACCGACTTGACCATTCGCAACGGGCCTGGCCCGAAGGTGCTTTAACTTCCATGCTATGCAGGCCAAACAGTGAATGCCGGCAACCAAACGGGCATTTTCTTTCTAGATGGACCTGGTTGGGGTGTATACGAGCAACCAAACACGTCATTACTATGCAGTCTTAAAACATTCAAATAGGAAAGCTATGGCCTCCCTAAGCACGCTCATCTCATTGTCCATTTTGAATGAGAGGAACACGATTGTCTTTCGAAACAAAGGTGCGCCGTTGTCGATCCTACTCGACAACATTAAGAAGGAAGCCTCGCTTTGGGTGGCCTCAGGTGCTAGGAAACTGGGACAATCATGCGAGGAATAATCCATTTGTTGTATTAAGGGGTGTAATTTCTTAACACAAACTCTCCTTCTCTCTTGATTAATATACGAGGCAAATTTTTGCCCCCGTCTAAAAAACATTCAAATGAGAAAAAAAGATAAGAAAAGCAAGCCAGCATGCTCAACTCAACTAAACATGATTACACGACACATTCATGCAGCACAAATCATATTGTTAGACCACGATCCATGTCAGGTGACTAATTGTGCTACCATGTCTAAAAAAGTGTTTATCTGTTAGAAACGTGGGGAAAATATGACAAATAAAAAAGAAATAAAAATAAGTAAAGACACAAAAACAAACCAAAAGGAAATAAAATAAAAATAGACAAAAGTGAAAATTGAAACCAGTAGAATACTGATGAACATGACAGAAACCGGCATATGTTTTTTTAGTACAACGTCACACTTTTATTCAATGATTCAATC